GGCCACCAACCCTGTGAGTGAGAGCATTCTTTGTCACAAATCGGGCTTTTCCCCAGCCAGTCCTAAAGGCTACGGGTTGGCTCTCTAATATGGTGGCCACTTCCTAAGCGTGGCTCTATAAATTTAAATTAATTCAGCCCTGGACGGTTTGGCTCAGCGGGTAGAGCTTTGGCCTGTGGACCAAAGGGTCCTGGGTTCAATTCCGGTCAAAGGCATGCACCTTGGTTGCGGGCTCCTCCCTGCCCAGGCCCTGACTGGGGCACTGCAGGAGGCAACCAATTGATGTGTTTCTCTCACATCGATGCTTCTCTCTGCCTTTCCCTCTCTCTCCCACTCTCCCTAAAAAGCAATGGAAAAATATCCTTGGATGAGGATTAAAAAAAAAATTAAATTAATTAAAAAGAAGTCAAATGAAAAGTGTAGTTCCTTAGTTGCATTCGCCACAATTCAAGCGCTCAGTAGCCCACGTCATCAGTGGCCTCCGCATTGGTCAGAATCGATAGAATTTCTATTACCGCACAAAGTTCTGCTGGACAGTACTGGTCCAGTAGAACTTCCAGAGATCTCCTGTTGCTTCTTCCTTTATCCCTCTCTGGTCCTTCTTTGATCCTCCACCCGAACACAGCTCATCTTGGTACAGGTAGTGGCTAAGGCTTTGGAGCCAGTCAGGTCTCTCCACCCAGCCCTGCCCGGTAGACGTGATGATGTTGAGCGTGGGTGAGCGAGCTTACCGCTCAGAGACTCACTGTCCTCATCTAGAAAACATAAATAACCGCCCTCCCTTTCGGGGTGGTTGTGAAGATGAAAATGAGCTAGATTGTATTAAAAAAAAGTCCCTGTGGTGTGGAGCAAGTGCTTACCTAAGTGTGGCTCATAGTTCATTCATTTGAAAAAATAGTTTCAGCTCCTCTTGCGTCCCGGGCACTCTTCTAAGAGCTATAGCTACCCAGCCCTGAGCAAAACAGACAGACACCCCTGGCTCGTGGGAGGTTCATTTGAGTGGGGATGTAAATGAGATGTGTAGTGTGATTGTGACTGGTGCGAAGGAGGAAGAATAATACAGGGGAGAGAGGGAGGAACGGTGTGCTTCTGTTGAGGACGGGGCATGTTGAACTGATCTTTTCCTAGGGCCGGCGGGGGGTGTTCTCACCAAGAACATGATATTTGAATGCAGGCCTGAAGGAAATGTAAACATGTTCAGGGATTATACTCCTCTCAAACAAAGCACTTTCAGGGCCAGACGCTTTTCTGAAAGGAAGTGTTTATTGAGCCAAATGCTAGCCAGGAAAGGGCCACGTCCCGGGCATGGCGTCTGAACCACAGCCGCGGGGCTGGATGGAGCAATGCCTGCCGGCCTGCGTCCCCGGCGCTTTCGGACATCATGTCTGTGGGGGGAAAAGAGAAAGATGGAGCTGTGTTGAAAGCATGTACACTGGCTATCGATCAAGAGGGTGGGGGAGGGGGAGCGGGGCCGGTTCTGAGATGGGTGCAGAGTCCACCAGGAGAAGGGTTGGCTCCTTTGGATGGGCGGCAGGCAGCGGTCCGGAACGTTCTTGCAAAAGCGAGAACAGAGGTGCCTGGGGGTTGGTGGCGCCTGGCTATTTTCTTTAGGTAAACGTGAAGATAGCCACCTGAAGGTTAGCTCTCTGTTCCAGCACGCCTCAGGAGTGTGCGCAGCCTTTTGTGGGTCGTCCTGTGCCTGATCACTGATTAACTTCGATGGGCTCTGGCTGCCACCCCCAGCTGTGACCTCATGTAGGACGCCTTGTTCCTCCCGGAGCAGGGAGACTTCACAACGGGGGAAGAGACCTGGGATAGATCTCATAGAATAATCTAGTCTGGTGGTCGGCAAACTGCGGCTCGCGAGCCACATGCGGCTCTTTGGCCCCTGGAGTGTGGCTCTTCCTAGGCCTTAGGAGTACCCTAATTAAGTTAATAATAATGTACCTACCGATATAGTTTAAGTTTAAAAAATTTAGCTCTCAAAAGAAATTTCAATCGTTGTCCTGTTGATATTGGCTCTGTTGACTAATGAGTTTGCCGACCACTGGCCTGGGGGTGGGCCCCTGAGGCCCTCATCCAGGAGGTCTCGTAGCACCTGTTCTCCGCTCCCCTCCGCATCCAAACTTCCTTTCCCGAAAATTATCCTAGGTCTGCCTTCTCTCTACCCCTCTCTACACGGTGGTGACTATCTGTTACCATATTGCATGCCAGCTGTATACACGGAACTAAGCTAGGCCCTTTGCCTCCGTGATCTCATTTGCTCTTCACAGCCACCTATGTGAGAACCTTCCCTTGTGTGAGAGGGTGTTAGAGCCATTGCATACTTGGGGGAAGCTGTAGGACCAGCAGGGATTGTCGGAGGGAAAGGTCAGAGGTCAGTTTTGTACACGTCGTAGCTGAGGTGTCTATTAGAAAACCAGCACTGCCCGGCTGGTGTGGCTCAGTGGTTGAGCTTTGACCTATGAACCAGGAGGTGACGGTTTGATTCCCAGTCAGGGCACATGTCCAGGTTGCGGGCTTGATCCTCAGTGTGGGGCGTGCAGGAGGCAGCCGATCATTGATTCTCTCCCTCTCCCTTCCTCTCTGAAATCAATACAAATATATTTAAAAGAAAGAAGAGAACAGAGAAAACCAGAAGATGCTGAGGAGTTGGATACAGGAGTCTGGAGTTTGGGGATGAGGGCTGAGCTTGAGGCATGAATTTGGGAGTCACCTGGTGGCCTGTGAGAACGGCTGAGGTAATAATCTAGGGCAAGAGTGTAGATGGAGGAGAGAAGAGGCACCCCAGCCTTCTCAGGCTGGAAGAGGAGGAGCAGACTGAGAAGGTGAGCCCAGTGATCTGAGGAAAATCAGGAGCGTTGTTGCCCGGGAAACCCAGTGAGGACTCTGGAGCAGGGAGGAGGGAGCGCCCTGGCTGGTGTGGCTCAGTTGGCTGCTTTTGGTTACTGTTCTTTTTTGTTTGTTTGTTAATCTTCACCTGAGAATATTTTTCCGTTGATTTTTTTTTTTTTTTTTTTTTTTTTTTTTTAGAGAGAGTAGAAGGGAGGGGAGAGACAGAGAGAGAAACATCAGTGTGGGAGACACGGTTGCATGGGCCCCAGCTGGTGCCAGGGATCAAGCCTGCATCCGAGGTACATGCACTCCACTGGAATCGAACTCAGGACCCTTCAGTCCGTGGGCCGACGCTCTATCCACTGAGCCAAGCTGGCTAGGGTGGTTACTATTAATTCTAAATTTTCTAGTATCTTCCATAGTATTGTCTGACTCTTCATGTGTTAGTCGCTCACTGTTTTAATTGCAGTAGCTTTATAATTTCCTGCACAGGCCTACCATGTTCTGAGATAGGAAGGAAGGAAGAGGGGAGGGAGGGGGGGAGAGAGAGAGAGAATAGAGAGAAACATCGATCGGTTGCCTACCACACTTGCCTTGACCTGGGTGGGGATCAAACCTGCAACCCAGGTACATGTCCTGGACCAGGAATCGAACCCGAGACCCTTTGATGTGAAGGCCAACCATCTAACCATGGAGCCACACCGGTCAGGGCCCAACAGGCACGCTGATTCTGAAGTTCAGATAGGAAAGTAAATAAGCACGGATAGCAAGGACAGTTCTGAAAAAGCAGAGACCTGAGAGGGGAATTAGCTTACCCGTCTGTAAAGCGCATTATAAACCCATGGGAAAGCCAGAATCTGGGGGTCACAGCGTCCATCCTGAACTCTTTCCTTCAAGGTGAAGCTTGTACAGAGCTCATGGCACATGGGGATGTGGAGGGGGACATAGGCTTGCGCTCAGGCAGTGTTGAGAATGCGGCGTGTGTGTGTGTGTGTGTGTGTGTGTGTGTGTGTCTTTAAATCCTTTGTAAGACGCGTACTGCAGTGTCACGTACATAGAGAGGGCGCACTCAGCACAGCTCTGACGGCTTGCTGAGTTGTCACTGAGCACACCCAGGAGCTGACCGGGACCAGCCCAGAACCTCCCCTGTGCTCCACTCCCGCCACTCCCTCCCGCACCTCCACTTGGTGGCTTCTTAAGGCTCTAGCGTTGCTTCCTCGCATCTAAAGGGGTGGGAGAAGGTGGTGGTCGTGGTTTGGGATGGGATGTGGGACATAGATCAGGTCCCTTCTTTCCTCTCCCCCTAGCCCCCTCCACAAACATAACATCCCTCATGTGGCTCACGCTCTTGAGTAGACTCTGAGGCCAAATTCAGAGATGGGAAGACCGGCCCCTTTGTGCCCTTCTCCTGTGAAGGTCATGGGCCCTGGGCAAACATAACTGAGTCCCAGGGCCCCGGGTTCCAATCCCTGCTATAGGACGCACTGGCTACGTGACTGGGCCCTGGTTCTCATTTATAAAAATGGGCAGGTTGACCTGAATCATCCTTTTTTTTTTTTTAAAGGACTTCCTTATATATTTTTATTGATTGATTGATTTTTAGAGAGAGAGGAAGGGGGGAGAGAGAGAAACATTGATTTGTTGTTTCATTTACTTAGGGAGGCTCGGCCCCATTTCACTGTTGAGTCAGTAGAATATGCCCTGATCAGGGATTGAACCCACAACCTTAGCGTATCCGGATGACGCTCTAACCAACTGAACCATCCAGCCAGGGCCTTTAATCACTCTTCAGGCCCCTTACAGCCTCAGAAGAGTGACCCTTCGCTCAGCACGCGCTCTGTGCTTCAGCCCCTCTCTGGACCCAAGTCCTGTGTGTGTCCGTGTGTAGGCACCTGTGCTCTTCTGTTTATTTTTATTAATTTTTGAGAGAGAGGAAGGGGGAGAGAGAGAGAGGGAAACATTGATGTGAGTGAGAAACATTAATCAGTTGCCTCCTGTATGCACCTGACTGGGGATCAAACCTGCAACCTGTCATGTACCCTGACGGGGGAATCGGACCCACAACCTTCGGTGCACAGGACAATGTTCAGCCAACGGAGCCGCCCGGCCAGGCCCTCTGTGCCCTTCACGCCCTGCTCCATCTGCTTTGGTGTCTCCATGTCTCGATGCGCTTCCTGGGGCTTGGTGGGGGTGACGGGGTTGGGTTGTTTGCCCTCCTCAGATAACTTTTCCTCTAATGAGTTTATAATCTCTGCGAGGTGATCCAGGCCAGACCTCCTGGGCCGGAGCCGGCTGCTCTCTCCGACGTTGCCGGAGAGGGAGTCAGTGTTTCCCCGGGAGGAGTGGGTCCCCCGCTGGTCTCCGAGTCAGCAGCCAGCATCACCTTGTTATGGGCCCAGAAGAGCCTCCGCGGCTCGCCGCCCCTCCCAGTGGTACAGAGGCCGTGGTGTGGGAGGGGAGGAGAGGCTGCCAGGGTAAATACTGACACCACCAGCTACAAGGCAAATACAAGCAGGTACAGAAGCACAAACACGCCAGAGGGAGAGGAGCGGCCGGGCTGCCAGCAGGAGCAGCGATCTGAGGAGAGGGGCTGCGGAAGGGGTGGGGCGGGGAACATGGCAGGGGCCACAGCTTAGACCCTGAGGGCTGGCCTCTCCCTCAAGGCGGAGGAAGGCATTCGGGGGATTTCGGGGGAAGTGAATGGCTGAGCTGGGGAGTCAGAGGTGGGGGCACTTTGAAACTAACTAGTCCTTTGAGTGTTGCTGCTGAAGGTAGGGTAGGGGGAGAACCGTCAAGGGTGCCAGGCCCCTGGCTCCCGGTAAGAGACCCCTCCAGATACTACTCGATGGCAGGGCTAGACTTCCCCTGCAACTCCCCACCCCTTTCCACATACCCTCAGCCCGGACTCCCCTCCCCAGGCCTCTGTGGGGGGTGGACAGGCCTGAGAAGAGCAGGCAGGTAGAAGAGAGGAAATTGGAAGACAGGGAGAGGTGTATAAAGAGTGGTGGGCAGCCCAGAAAGGGCAGCTGAGGGTGGAGCCTAGGGCGACACCTGGCCCCCAGAGAGAGAGCTGCTGGGGCCAGACTCGCCTGCAGCCCATGCAGACCCCTCCCTCTCTAGGGTGTGAATGTGGGCCAGTTCCTTAATGTCTCCCAACTTCCTCCACTCAACAGTGGCGTGGGGCCAAGCCTCCCTCCGCAGCAGGGTTGTTCGGGGTGGGGCGCTCTCAGGGGCACGTGGGAATCAGTGCTAATGAGTGGTAATGATCGTTAAGGTTATTATTGCATCGAAAGCCAGGAGGTTGGTGTCAGCCCTTCGATGGGGAGGCAGGGCCAGGGGATGAACGCTGGGAACTTGTCCGAGGCCCCAGGCCCCGTAGGACCAAATTCTGCGCTTGTTTCCCGGAGATTCTCAACAGCCGCCCGCCTCGTTGCCCAGACAGGACCTTTCATTCCCTGTGACCTCATCTGCAGTCCTGTGTCCCTGCAACCGGAGAGGCTAGGGGCCTGGCCGGCGGGCCCTGCGTCTCCGCTCAGACCGGGGCAGTGGGATCAGCAGGCGTGTGCTAAGCTCAGCCTGTGTCCCCGCGGTGCGCTGGCAGCTGCCCCGCTGCTTACATAATTGGGCCGGGGAGCTGAACTTGTTTTTGCTGTCGGGAGCAGCGACAAGCTGTGCGAGTTGAGAAATACGTCTCTGTGTGCGTGTGTTTTTCTCTAGTTGTGAGCGTTGCACGTCACCCTGGAGAGGGGAAAAGTAGAAAAACAGCAACCTTACCTAGGTCCAGAATGAGGACCCACACTCGCAGGGCTGGCCCTCCCCCCTCCCCCCCTTGAGAGGTGTCCAGGGAGTGGGGTTATGTGGCTCCAGGCTGGGGTGTGGGATAGGTTGCCAGGGGTGATGAGGATCTAATCTCTCCTCCCCTCAGAGAATGGGAGGCCAGGGAGGGTGTGGGAACGCCTCTCTCCCCCGGCTCTCCAGGGAGGGGAGGAGCATGTGTCCGAGGGCAGTGGGGTGACCTGGCTGTCACTCCTCTCCAAAAGTCCTCAGCTATGAGAATAATAAATCCACAGACTGATTATGTGTCTTCACGCAGGGCTGTTGTCTGAGCTACACAGACACACACACGCTTCCTGCCCTCTGAGAGCGAATGCTGGCGTGGTGAGATGCTAGACTGCAGGAATTGGGGTAGCAGGGAGCCTCGGATCATAGTCTGACGGAGAAGGCGCAGGCGAATGGGGCTGTGCGGCGGCTGTGACGCGCCCAGGGCTGCCCGTCATTGACCAGACCGGGAATAGAACCCGGGTCTTCTGACCACACAGGGCCGTTTCCCCTCTGCCCGTCTGCCTCCTGCATTCAGAGATGTGCTTTATGTTAAATAACAAACCAAGCCGACACTGTCCCCGGTGGAGAGTATAACCTGTGGAAAAAACACACCAGGCACCTGCCCTCCCTGGGTTCTCACTTCTCTTTGCTGTTCCCTCTTCATTGAATGCCATTCCCTGTGGCTCTGTTTCTCCAACTCCCATGCGCTTCTCAAGGCCCAACTCAGATCTCCCTTCCCTGGATCCTAATGGCTCCCCTCCCCACCCCTTTTGAATGATTTCACCCTCATGAGACTCCCTCAGTATGTCGGGAGCACATATCTCGGGGTGGCCTGTATTATAGGTCGTTTTTTAAAGTTCTCCGTGGAGTTCTGTGTAGGTTAAACGAGACCATGACATGGATAAGGAGGAGAGGAGTGTCGGTGCCTAGTACATGTTCAATAACTGTCAGTTCTCTCTGCTGGGATCGGGAGTTTTGGGCCTTGTACATACATGATGAATGCACAAAAAATCGTGAATCCTTGAGACAGGCACAGGCTTGCAACCCTGGCCTTAAAAGACCGAGCAACTGAACTGCTCAAGCACGAATGCTAAACAGTGTGCTCTTTGCTAAATGTCAGGCTGTGCAGGGCCCGCCACTCCCTGCCGCGCCCCTGCCGCCCAGGCTGGGAGTGTGAGCGAGGCTGGGGCCCAGGCTGGGAGTGTGAGCGAGGCTGGGGCCCAGGCTGGGAGTGTGAGCGAGGCTGGGGCCCAGGCTGGGAGTGTGAGCGAGGCTGCCGCCCAGGCTGGGAGTGTGAGCGAGGCTGGGGCACGTGCGTGAGGAGAGGGAAGGGGTGCTCTCAGGAGCACGCTCCTCACCTGTTTCCCGCTGGGTCTCTTCTGTTAGTAGGGCCAATTTTGGGAGGGCTCTGGCAGATTCCAGGGAACAAACGGCGGCAGATGGGAGGAATGGTGACCTTATGTCCACCAGGGGATCAGGCCAGAGCGCTGAAGCTGCAAGGGGGGCGGGGGCGGGGGGAGAGGTGACTACTTTCTAGCCGGGAAGGTGCTCAGAAAAATCCACCCTCACCCACCCCTATTCCCTGGTGACCATCGTGCTGTGTCCCACCCCTGTCCCTGCCCTCCACCCTAGACAGAATAACTTGGACAGACCTGGCTATGTAACTTTTTTGTTTAAAAAAAAAAAAAAATAT